ATTCTTATACTTTTTTCAAACACTCCCATTGCCATTACCAAACATCTTTTATGATAAAATTAACAAACTAATTGCTCAATTTATTTGGAATGATAGAAAAGCTAGACTTCGCCTTAAGCTATTACATCTGCCCTATATATGAAAGGGGAGGGCTTCAACTTCCCAATTTTAGATGATACTATATGGCTGCCCAACTGACTTCAGCACTAAATTATTTCCGTACAACAACACCTGCTTGGGTAGACATTGAACAAAACTCCATCCCAGATATACCATTAAAAATGTACCTATACTCTTCAGATACTAAGTCATTGAAGAAGAACACAAAAAACCCTTTCCTTAAAAATACTGTTTCAGTCTGGCATGCTGCACATAAGCATATAGGTGGATATGCGAGATTATCCCAATTTACTCCTACTTGGGGTAATGAACAATTTACACCCGGTAATAAAGATGGAGGATTTAAGATATGGAATATTAGAGGCATTCAGAAAATTATGGATTTTATGAAGATGGAGTTCTACTTTCTTTTGATCAGCTATGCCAGAAATATGCAATTCCCAAAAAGAAGAAGAAGAACAGATAATCTGTATACCATCTTTATCAAAATTAGAGGAAATAACTCTCGGAAATTTAGAAGGTATGAGTCACGTATCTGTGTACTATAATTTAATGGTGAAACACAGTACTGAATCAACATTGGACAAATTAAATGCCTGAAAAATGGATATACAGGAAGATATAGATGAGGCAGAATGAAACTATGCTTGTCTTAAAGCACAAACGCAGACAATAAATACAAGGTTTAAATTACTTCAATATAAATGGTTAATGAGAACCTATAACACCTGTCAAACTTCATCAAATGTCCGCTAATATTCCAGATGCGTGTTCTAAATGCTTGGACGATGAAGGTACACTGTATCATTGCCTCTGGGAATGTCCAAAGATACAAAACTTTTGGAAGGAGGTTATAAAATGTTTGTCAGACATGTTTAACACTACAATTCCTTTGAATGTAAAACTTTGTATTCTTGGAATATATCCAATGGACGTTATACAAACATCAAGACAGATTAAACTTGTAGACTTAGGTCTCCTTCAAGCCAGAAGAGTTATTGCATTAGGCTGGAAGAGTATGGATGCTCCATCTATGAAAATGTGGACAAAGGAGTTATCGAACTGTATCGGACTGGAAAGGCTAACTTACATTGCTAAGGGTAGACAGAAAGACTTTGATCAGCTATGGGAGCCATACATAAATATCATGTAAAATGGAAATGTAGACCTTACTGAAAAAGACATTGTAAAACATTCTCTGTAACAAATTTATTTATTTATTATCTTTTTTTTTTAAATATATATTTATATATAAAAATATATTTTAAAAATTATTTTAGAAATATTTACTTATTATTTTATGATTTATTATTATTATTATTTATTTATGCATTTCTTTTTTTTTAAGTGTTAATTTAACATGTGTAAGTGAAGGGGTGTATGCTTGTGTACTTGTTCCATAGGCTATTTTGTTACTATATGTCTAGCTGATGTGTGTTTATAAAATAAGATAAGGACAATAAAAATATTGGGGAAAAAAATGAAAAAATCTATAATAGTATTTTTGTCATAGATTATGATTATATATTTTTTCATTTGTTATTTTTCTTTATAATGAAGTTGTCTACATTTAGTTGTTTGTGTTTACCACACAAAGTGATGATCAGATCAACATAAAGTATAAAAATTCTACATTTATTGAAAAAAAAAAAGCCTGTGCAAGTATCGGATTGGTATCGGTATCGGACGATACTCAGAAATTTTGGTATCGGATTGGATCGGTTCTGAAAAAATGGTATTGGTGCATCCCTAATAAAAATGAGCTGAAGTTAATGAGCATTTAAGTTTTAATGTTTAAACTTTTTAAACGTTTTATGACATTACACATTTCTAATAAAAGTCTATTCAAGGTACATTTGTGTTAAAGGTTACATATTTTGTCCAGGAAATGACTACAAGACATACTGAGACACTATATTTTAAGATTTGTAAATAGTTTGAACACCTTTGTAGTGAAACACTTCTTGTTCGACCAGGGGAAAAAAACAGATGTCCTAAATACAACAGAACGTTGTCTGTAAGTTTTACCTGGTCATTTCTTCATAAAACAGCACCTTTTCAAAGCCCCACATTCATAATGCATATGGCAGGATAACGTTTTACATTTTTGTCAGCGGTACATTAAAAGCATTGTTATCCTTATGCCACAGTTTGGTCTTGGGGTCAGATTAGACTTTATACTGTAAAACATTGATTTATTTATGTTTGTTATTAAAAGGCATGATTATCTAGATTATATACCATAGACAGTACTTAGACACTTTTGAAGGTCCCTTACGTTTGAATACATTTGAAGCCTGCCTCTTATGATAAGGTTATTGACAGACTGTGGTGTTCTTGTGATGAACTAAAAGGTTCAATTTTGTAAGTTCCTCAAAGAACTGTCATTTATATATAAAAAAAAAATTTTTAAACATAATTGCCTAAAGGTTCTTCAAAAAGTTCCCAGGGAACACAAAACCAGCAACACTTGGAATGAATAAATAATAGTATTTAAAAAAAAATAAATAAATAAAAGTGTTTGTGTGTGTGTGTGTGTGTGTGTGTGTGTGTGTGTGTGTGTTCAATAAGTAAATTGTTTTCTCCATTATTTTCTTTTTATAAACTTGCTCTAGAATAACTTTACAACACTTCTCCAGTGTGGCTGTTTATGGACTCCAGTATTTTTTTTGTAATTTTTACAGTGACATACTGCGGTGTCAGAAATGAACTCTTTAATTACTGGGCATTTTGGAATGGAGAGCATATTACTTGCAATATAAAATACATACTGTGGATCAAATACTTCAGTCAAAGTATTGGAAAAAATTGTTTCTGGAAATAATGCATGTAAAAATGCAAAATAAATAAATAAATAAACCTTTTACTTTAGACGCTGCTAGAACACATTTACCATTTTTGTTTCAAGTTTTGGAGTGTTTCTTAATGTTAGCTATAGATTAAACAACACTAAACTCTGAGATAGTGGTTTGACAGATATTTGAGATGATATAGCCTTTTTTTACACCCATATTCTGAATATTATCCCTTTCAGTGATATTTCCTCTGTGTGCCCTATAAATTATGTCCATGTTATATAGGGTTATTATAATAAATTGTCTTTGATTTGTTATGACTCAGATTCATTCTTTATTGTCCTCAGAAGAGGACATTTGTTTTCACAGGCTGTACCAGAAACTGTAATACAAGGCATGATTATGACCTTCAGACAAATGCATTTTATTTATAAAATTAAAAAGAAAAATAACCTAAACTATTACGGAATATATGCTGATGTGCTGCCAACTACTTTCTATTCATTAAAATAATTAGTAGTAACCAATGATGCATGCATTTTTTTCTCTAAGTTTTTCTTGTCCCAAACCAATTATCATACTTTCAATTGTGATTAATTAACCCAAGTATATCATATCATTATGCATATTCATGATATGGCATCATGTCTACAATTAATACATGTTATGAAATAAATGACATGAATTATAAATCACTCTAAAGTATTAGTCATTCTCCCATAATTTCTCATTTACAAATGCACTCACTCACAAATGTGTCAAATCCAAAATAGTGATTATATTAATAAGGCACTACTGTTTGCTGATCTGCAAGAATGCAAATTCCACACTTTATTCTTTAGTCATTGCTTAATCAACTGGGAGTGGATGAGACGTTTGTCATGGATGTTTTTTCAGAACATCATGAAACTTGCAAGGCCCAAGGCAGGGCGGACACACCAAGCTTACCGAGGCATCCTAAAACAACTACTATTCCTGTAGAGCAAGCTGTCTTCAAAGGAGCAGCTTTCCAAGTCTTATGAAGACTCGCCTAAAGTCCTAGTCATTATCAAAGTGAACATGTGGTTCAATTTGTTAGGCAAATATGAGGTCAGAATAGCTGTTGAACATACATAGTGGAACCTTGTCTATCCCATTTAACGGACACATGACGCCTTCACACTCTGCACATCTCACAAGCAGGACGGAAGGGGACAGACAGGGTGTGCCTCATTAGGACAACAGCAATTGCTACAACTACATTTACATCAGTTGCATTAGTGATTGTGAAATGGAGGAGTTCGTGTTAAATAATGCACAAAAAAAATGATCTGATTACAGAAAGCACCAAATCCCATGAACAGTGCAAAAATCTCTGTAAATGCACCAAGTTGATATTTCGAGCATGCAGAAGAGACTAAAGAGATAAATAAATACCTGAAAAAATCACTACAAAACACACTGTCATTGGATTAATAGTGTCAGATTTCTGTGGTAGTGCACGATCCTTTCACTGCCAGACTTTTCAGTGAGTGCACACAGCATGCACACTTGTTGGTTTCTATCAGTCATTTTGCTATGGCATCAGATTTTCAATTTTCTAATTTTGACATTCAGTGTATAGCCCATGTTGATGCTGCAAGATTAAACTCGTTACATCCTATTAGTTGGTTATTAGGGAGGATGAGTGACTATAAATGGAGAGAACGACGAATTGTATGAGTAAGATGACAGTCAAAATACAGTTCTGCCAAAAAGATCATCTAATCACACTAATTCCTCAGTCGCTTGCATCAGTTTATCATACTTCATTTATGCGCGCGAGTAGGCTACGCATTGTAAATAACTTTACTAACCTACTTCTACACTGATTAAAAGTCAAGTAGCGCACACATTCTGTTCGCCAAGTCCAAAAACAAAACGACTTTAACTTGATTCGGGAGCGTCATACGTATAATAACAACCCTGATACGGTTTAGTTTCCGACGTATGACGGTCTATCGGACGCCGAGTTTCGTAGAGAAGTTCGGCTCTGCAGTGTTTACTCACTAAACAGTTAGTTACATGCATCGTCTTCCTCCTTAAATAGTCAGTAAAGTGGTTTACCTGTTGAAGATCCCTTCCGGGGTCTAATTCGACCGTTCCATTCTAGTTACTTGAAGACGCCAGTGTTTTTGTCGCAACAACTGTCAAGACGAGCCGGATAATTTCACCTACAGCCTCATAATAGATATCACTCAAAGCGCTGGTGTGACAAGTGGGCGGAGCTAACGGAGCTCACCACTATATAAACTTACAGCTGCAGTTCAAAGTTTGATTTGTTCGAAGTGCAACAGCAAAGCAAACTGCTGGGGTTTTTTCTGACGATAAAATGTGCAGCTCACCATGGGACAAATATATATATATATATTCATTCAGTGGTTAACTTTAAGTGAGATAAATAAACTTATATTGAATTGAAATATAAATATTACATTTTACATTTTCATAAATATGAAATTAGGTTTGCTCAGTGTGTAATACTACTGAATAAAAACAACCATTTAAGAAGAGAAGAGTATGCATTTTTATCAGAGCCGCTCACTTTAAAATGATAGGATTTCATCTTCTCATTACATATTTGATTCCATCTATTGAACATATTATTTTTTGTCAGTTCTAGTTAATTGTATTTTTCCAGTTTGCTTATCTCAATTCAATATTCTGGTTGTCAAACACTAAAACCCAAAAGGTTGCAAATGCAAATCCTAATTATTCTAACAATTATCTGAGTCATTGACACAATTCTGAAAGCCTTCTACACTCTTAAAAATAAAGGTGCTTCACGATGCCATAGAAGAACCTTTATTGTCTAAATGGTTCCATAAAGAACCTTTAACATCTGAAGAACCTTTCTGTTTCACAAAAGGTTCTTTGTGGAGAAAGAAGGTTCTTCAGATTATAAAAAGGTAAGAAAGAGATGGTTCTTTAAAGAACCTTTGACTGAATGGTTCTTTGTGGAACCAAAAATGGTTCTTTTATGGCATCGCTTGAAGAACCTTTTGAAGCACCTTTATTTTTAAGCGTGTATTGTGGTTAATCTTAAATCACTAATAGCTAACACAAAAGCTTTAAAATGATCTAATCTAGATTTCAAACACTCAGACCTGAAAGATGAACAAAGTGTCATAAATAATGCTGTCGTGCCATGAAAATATTATTGAGATACAGCTGTCGGACAGATTTTGGAATATACTGTGTGAAGTCTTTATTTATGTACTCATTTGTTGGCTTATAGGGGAATTGTTCCTCTCTCCAGCGTCTGACAGATAGTTCCATCATGAACTCTGTGGTACAGAACATGCAAATGCATCCCCCAAAACATTTGTTTATGGCAACAGTAACACAAATGTCACACCATGCTTCCAAAGGGACTGTTAATTAATTAATAATAGCTTGAGATGAGGCTTACACGTTGCCTTTTCTGTAGACTTTATTGATCATACTTAATGAGCATAGAAAATTATTCATATTAGGGTTATGTACAACAAACATCACAATAAAGACAACACTTCAAATCAAAGATCTAATTCAAACCTCGCTTTACAGTGTCATGTAAGGAAGCCTACCAAATAAAGAAATCCAGTCAATTAGCTAAAGACTGTGCCCTCTAGTGGCAAAATACAAAGCACCTGGTTAGCTGCAATACATACCTATATTATATTACTAATTCACTGGTGCGTTTCATTGAAAATTAAAGTGCTTCTCCAAGTTTCTTGACTCTCATGCTGTCATCGTTGAGGGATACTTTCATCGAAGACACTTTGTTTGTTGAGACACTTGTTTTTTGAGACACTTGTTTGTTGAGCAGGATTCTTAGCATTCTGCTGCTAATGAGTAGGCCTACCTATTGATCTGCTCTGTGTCAGGTGAAATGAAATCCATGAAATGCGTTCCACATAGATTGAACATACAATATTGTACAAAACGCTGAGTGAAAGAGAACAAGCTCTCTCTCTCTCTTTCTGAAATCAGAAGAAGCATCTGCCAACTACATATACAGTACAGACACATTACAAGCACATTTTACACATATTGTAATTACTTACTTGTGATGTAAAGGTTTTTTGCATCATAATTTAGTTTTTCATTACCATTTACAAACCTTTCTGTGATTCTTGGCATTAAACTGGCATTTCATTAAAAAAAAATTTTTTTGATGACATTACATGATTTAAAAAAAGATGTGTGTGTGTGTGTGTATGTGTGTGTGTGTGTGTGTGTGTGTGTGTGTGTGTGTGACCCTGGACCACAAAACCAGTCATAAGGGTACATTTTTTACAAGCTGTAAAATCTGAATAAATAAGCTTTTCATTGATATATGTTTTGTTAGGATAGGACAATATTTGGCAGAGATACAACTATTTGAAAATCTGGAATCTGAGGGTGCAAACAAATCTAAATACTAAGAAAATCGCTTTTAAAGTTGTCCAAATGAAGTTCTTAGCAATGCATATTACTAATCAAAAATGATGTTTTGATATATTTACTGTAGGAAATTTACAACATATCATCATGGAACATGATCTTTACTTAATTTCCTAATGATTTTTGGCATTAAAAAAAAATCAATAATGTTTTTTTTTGGCTATTGCTAAAAATATACCCAAGCGACTTAAGACAGGTTTTGTGGTCCAGGGTCACATATATATATATATATATATATATATATATATAAAGATAAAATATGAATATATATATATACGTATATTTTATCTTTGAAGAACCATTCCCATAGAAAACCTGGATATATGAGGAAGACTGGAAAAAATTGATAATATTTTATAACTCCATGTGGGTTTTTATAATGAAATGTAAAATTAACTATTTATGCTAAGCTCTAAAGTGTACTGGGTAAATTATGAGTAAAACATTTCAAATAATCTTTAGTCTCAATTCTAATCCAATAAATCACGAGCAACTTGAAAATTCATGGGGCATTTGATTAGGCTATTGTTGAGAACAAAGTGGGCCTTGGAGTCAAAAATGCTGAGAACCATTGATTTACACTGTTTGTGGATACAAAATGTAACCATTAAAGTTTGCATTAAGTCTTATAATTATTCATTGTTAAATTAAAATTATATATTTTATTTTAAAATATTTTTGAAATAGTCACAGTAGAGCTGAACAGAAACTCATTGCAATGCTCAATGAAAATCATACTGAATGGTTAAAAGCCTATGTTGAAGACAACATGTACAGTATCAATGGGTCAATGTTAATATTTTCATAGCTATATGTTTTGCCAATAAAGCTTTACAATGTGATATTTCTGCTTTCTCCCTAAACCGACGATGCTGTCCTTGGTGAATCTGAATGGTGAATGCACATTCAGGAGGCAAAACCATTACAGCTTTCCAACTATCAAGGGATTATACGGTAATCATATTTGTTCTGATCGTAACTTAAAAATAATCAATTGTTTTCAAAGATATTTTCCATTACTGAGAGCCATAAAGGACCCTGGCTCTAAACGAGTCAATCAATTTCCTTAGAAGTGGGTAAATCGATGAGCATCAGCCTCGATGCAACATCTCTGATCAGTTTGAAGTCTCTTTCTGGTTGACTTGGACTTTCTCAAGCCCTGCTGGTCAAATACAAATTATAAATGTAATCAAAGCTAATGTCACATCTTATCTAATGATTAATTTGGACTCGAACACAGGCTAAATAAATGTACGTTGTTTACTGTAAATTTATCTGTAAATTTACTGGCATGTGTCTGTGCTCTGTGAATATGTGAATAGATCTGTGATTAGGCCCAATGCAAATTTAGGTAATACTAATCACAGAGCTGAAAAAAGGCACCTATCAATAGGGAGGTTTTATGAAGTTTCTGAAAGCAATGTTCATCTTCAGTCTCTCATTTTCATTTTTATCTGCCAGCGCTGCTCAGTCAAGTCCATTAATAACAGCAGTTTGAACAGGAATCCATTTCCGTGCCCAACCACTGAGCAAAAGCAACAATGAACCTGAAAATTGTAACAAATGATATAGTTTATGAATGTAGTGGAAAGCATTGTGTTTGCCTTCTTGTGCAAAAATGAGACTGCTTGAGTGAGAGAGAGGGATGCAGCATGAGCTGCGTGCTCATTAGAGTCATAGAGGAAAAATGAACAGAAACGTGACCTGAAGGCAGAGATTGGCATTGGTAAATTTGTCGCTGTAGACTTGCCATACTTCTTTAACTTTTGCCATTGCTGGAAAGTTATAGTGGATGTGACAATGCTTTCGTGTTGAAGCCATGGCCTGATGGGCAGCACAACTCACATACAGTGTATATAAAATGGTTTTATTCTTCAAGGACACCATGATAGATTTCAGAATTCATTGATGAATAGAAAGTTAAAAATAACAGAATTTATTTGAGATACAAATATTTTGCGACATTATAAATGACTTTACTGTCACTTTTAATCAATGGAAGGTTTTCACAGCAATATTAAGCAGCATTAAACTTATTCAGATAGCAATATATTCAGATAGAAAACAGTTGTTTTAAATTGAAATAATATATATGTGTGTGTGTGTGTGTGTGTGTGTGTGTGTGTGTGTGTGTGTGTGTGTGCATCAATTAATGCTGGTTCTAATGTAAACACACTCTATTCGCAACATTGTTCATTACCAAGAGCAAATAAACCTATTTAGAGGAATGTACATTTTTAATTTTCATTTACCATTTACGCAGCCAAGGGCAGACATTTGTTTTCATTTATTCCTTAATGAAAAGATCCTTTTGCCATTATACATAAAAGGCCCCTGCGTCATTTAAATATTTTTCTTTACAAAATGATTTTCAATTAATTAATGATCCCAATTTTCAAAGATCAAACCCAAATGTGACTGACAGAGCTGATGTAGTCATCTAGCACAAACATATTCCCTCATAATTCTCTCTAAAACTAGCTGCATAGTGTAGTAGCGCATGCATTAGTTTACATGTGCATGTATATGTGCAACCATGCCTGTGTGTGTTCCCATTCCTGCATGTATGTGAATATATATGTGTGTGTGTGTGTGTGTGTGTGTGTGTGTGTGTGTGTGTGTGTGTGTGGTCAAAGACATCCATCTAGTGCTAGTTGGCATTGAAAAACAATCAAATAAAAAGCATAGAGATTATAGAATGCACTCCTTAATGACCGAATGACACCTTAAACAGTGAAATACCATCACAATTAAATG